TTATACTTGATATATTGCTAGGCATCACACAAAGTACTATTATTTGCAATAGCAATTTGAGACTGCAAACAACAACAAGGTGCTACTGTTTGCAACCCCAAATTGTTGTTGCGAACAGTAGTTCGCTATTCGTAGTAACCTGTTGTTAACAAAAGAAAAATATATATTACGAATATAAACATAAAAATAATAAAAATCTAAATATATAAGTATTTATATGAATATTATGAAACATATACTAAAATTTGACGATGAAAAATTTGCTTTGTTCATGTATTTAGGGAGAATTAGAGAAAGTTAGGGATAAAAAATTCATAGAAAAAATAAAAATCAATATAAACAAGTAATGGTGAAGTAAAAAATAATATTATTTCGAATTTTTAGATGAAGATTGTAAAGTTTAGGAGAGAGAGAAAAATTAGTAGAGTTTAGGTATGAGGAAAATATAGGATAATGAAGAAAAAAATAATTTTATTGAATTTAGATAGGTTTATAAACTTTAAATAGGGAGAAAAAATAGAGTTTAAATAGAGAGAGAAAACATTCAAAGTTGTTACAAAGAAAATTTTGAAATCTTGGGGTTGATGGTTGGATTTCAACTATTTATATTTGAGAAGGAAAAGTCTACAAAAGTCTTAAAATTAAAAAGTCTACAAAAGTTCATAACTTTTTGAATACCACATGACTTTTAAAGACTCTTTAAAAGTCTTAATCGAATACCACACGACTTTTAAAGACTCTTTAAAAATCTTGATTGAATACCGTCTGACTTTTAAAGACTCCCTAAAAGTTTGAATTGAATACCTCTAAACTTTTAAAGTTCATAAAAGTTTTTAAAACTCTATGAAAGTCATGATTGAATACACCCCCCTTAGTTTTTAGAAAAACCCAATATATAATTAGTAATATTATTATGACAAATTAAGATATGGTTTAGTTTGAGATCTGACTGTCTTTAAAGATTCAAGAAGACTGATTGATACAGAAGCGTCTCTGGATCAAGCCGTCAAAGATCTGTTAAAGGAAAGTTTCTATAAACTGACAGACGTGTGTATGAGGTGATTATTCTGGAAAGAATATCAACGAATCATCTCTTTAGGTAGGGATGAAATCTTCTTAAAAAATCAAGATTGATTTGCTACACAAGTCCTACCTATTCCAACTAGAGTTATATATGGAGAGAAGTCAAAGTCAAGAAGTATATATACATATATACTTTCAGAAGTTAGGGTTGAGTTAATTGAAGCCGCAGCTCTGAATATTAAAAGATACACATCTCTGATTTTTATGTCTCTTCTCAAGTCTTAAAGTTCATGGTGATTACGAAGATGAACTTGAGAAGAATCAACTATGCTTAAACAATGGACGCGAAGTGTAATAGTTTCCCTTGATAATATATATTATATATATTATATATTAGGGCCTTAATTAAGTGGTGCAAGTTGACTAGGCTTATTAAGTGGTCTGGTTAGACTGAATAACTAGAAGTTGTTAGTCAACCAGACTCTGTGCCTAATATAAACCTGGATTGATGGGATACAAGTTTATGGATTAGATAGCACATTCAGTTACAGTACTTAGACTGCTCAGTAGACACCGATACACCATCTAGGGTTCTGAGTTTAGTCTGAGGCAAAACATGGCTAACGATCTACCGTTAAGAGGCAACCCAACAGGAATATCAACTGTGGCTAGAGATCAACACGGCTATCGCTTCCGCTCATACGAGGTCAGATCTCTCGTATACTAATATTCAGTATAGCTAAACTATTTAGATCTAACATTTGGTATGAGAGCCTTTATAATCTCTGCCTGGTTGATTATCATGCCTAAAATCAACAATTAATTTGTTCTATATACATTGAGTTCAAGGTACATATCTGTGCGTGTATAATCTCTGTCTGGTTGATTATTTTGCCTAATTGCCTTAATTAACAACATTTAATTTGTTGTTATATACATCGAGTATTGTATATATTTTGCTGCCCAACATTCAATTATAATCTTTTAAGTCTTCAAAATATGCATACAGAATATGTCTATTTGGTTTTGATATAATTAAGCAATATGTTATGTATATTTTGGAATTTGGAAAGATTATTTGTAATTGATTGTTGTACTGGTAGAATTATCTATGGTTGTTTTGAACTACTGGAATTCAACTCAACATTAAGCATATTCATCACCTACTGCCTGAATTTGTTTTTCTTTCACCGGATTTAATTTCTTTCCGGCATAAATCATCGGATTCGAGTTCGCCGGTGGTGATTTGGACTTCAACTGTCGTCAACTCACTGGCGGCGAAGCAACGACAACTACAGTTTTATAAAAAAATAAAATAAAAAAAATATGTTGTTCTTCCCTTCCGGTTAGCCGTTGATATGGCATTGTCTTCTGGAGACGAAAAATAGGATGATGACGACGGAGACGGTGTGTACTTGGTATTGCAGGCGGCGGTGGCGTCGCGGTGAGGTTGGTGGCGGACGTTGCCGCTGCAACAAAGAAAGACGGCGGTGGTGGGATAGATTCCCGTTCGCCGCTGCTGCCTTCCCCTCCATCAGGCAGCGTTGGCTTCGGCTGTCGCTGTTTCTCATCCTTCAGGCGACTCCTGCCGCTGCTCCTCAAGTTCAGACGGCGCTGGTTGTCTGGATTGCGTCGCGACAGACGGATGGCGGAGGTGTTGGCGTTGTGACGAGACCAGGCGGCGGAGGCGGAGCTGGGATTGCCCAGTGAGTCGCTGATGCCTTCCTCTCTTTCAGGCGACGCTGGCGACCAGATCACTCAGTTGTGGGAACAACGTAGGACTGCGTTAGTGAAGCGGATTGCATCAGAGTTAGCTCTCCATTGAAGGGATTTCATTGGACTTCTGGATGCATGACTCTCCGACTTCAACAAACCACTAAACTTTGTAGACTGGGTACTGACCTTGTGTGGAGCACTTGGGTGAGATCATTCTTTTCTATCTTTGTACATTGGATTCTGAGTTAGTGGATTAGACGCATCGGTGATCGTCCCCCAGATATAGATACACACTGTATCGAACTGGGTAAGCAAATCTGTGTGTTCCTTTTACTTTCTGCCTTAGTCTTCCGCATTTCGTTATATCTGATTATCTATCTGAACGAGTGTCTGATCCTAAGTTTGAGTCAATCAGTCTACTATCCAATTGGCAAGAAAGTAAATCGAACATCTTAGATTAAGAAAATATGCAAAATTACATGTATAACAGTTCTATCTTTTCATTCTTTTATTATGAATAAAATATATATATCGTTTCTGTCTTTTCTTTCTTTACGGATAAAAAAATATATATATATAGTTTGACGCAATATCTCAAATACCCCATACATTCTCCATATAAATTATTGAATTTAAAGTCACTTTTTGGAGCTTTCTTGGTGATATTTTCAACAGACTATGTAGCCATAAGTATGAATTTGCAAGGGAAAAATTGCATTTTTTTGATTGCCCAAAATAGGTGAGTTAATTCCAGCAATGATCCTCCGACTATTGTGATTTTCTAAAATTAGTCCTTGACTTTTAATTTGGACAAAAAAGACACTCAACTATCTAAATCATTCCACCAAAGGTCCTTCCGTCTAAATAGAGTTTGTTGACTGTCATTGTTGGGGCAATTATGTCTTTTCCTAATATATTGTTTTCTTCTTCCTATTTTTTCTCTTAGTCTTGCTTATCTCACGTTGCTGGCTTTATTTGAGTATTTGACGCAAGCATATAGCTCCACAGCGACAAAAGCACAAAGAACTCCACAAGGAAGAAAGCACGAAGAACTCCACAACATCCTCAGTGTCTGAAATTCCTTCAGTATTGAAATGTCTGCAAGGTATAGTAGTCAAAGATCTGCATCTTCAAGGAATGAAGAATACATCTATGGTGAGTACGTAAGCATTCCAAAGTGTCAATGTGGCCAACAATTGAAGCTACAAACATCTTGGACGAATGATAATCCAGGTAGAAGATATTGGGAGTGTCGATTTGAAAATGTGAATATTAATTTTTGGTTAGGGTTTTTTTCCCACATAATTGGACGATTTTTTTTTTTAATTCAATTTGGTGATTTTCGTGTAGGGAGGGAAAATGTGTGGTTTTGTTAGATGGTATGATCCTCCATGTGTGCCAGGTCAAGAAGAATTATTCCTGGACTATTGAGAAGGATTAATTGAGATGAAGAAGAAATAGCAAGTCTTAAAATGAGGCTACAAGCTTGTGCTAAAGTTGATGGGCAAGGGAGCAATGGTAGACGGTGTGTTAGGATAGTGAGTGGAGTCATTGTGATATGCACTTTGTTGTTGGTAGTTATAAAACTCAATTCACCTACAAAAGATAAAGTTCTTATGCTGGCTAATAGTAATGGTTATGTGTAATGTTTCTGTAATTTGGAGAATTTATTTGTAATGAATTACCATTTCCAATATGTTATGCTTATCACCATTTACAATGTAGCAATTTCCATTTACACAATCTTATGTTGCCTTTCATTTCCAGTAGCATACCATTTCCAGTAGTAAATGACAATAATATGCCAAATAGCAATTTACATTGGAAATTTATTGGACATTAAATCTGCAAATTGGAAACCATCTAATATCTGCAAATTACATTCCAATAGCATTATAAACCATATTCCAATAGCATTATAAACCATCTAATATCTGCAAATTACATTCCAGTAGCATTATATCTACAAATTGGAAACCATCTAATATCTGAAAATTACATTCCAATAGCATTATATCTGCAAATTGAAAAACATCTAATATTTGCAAATTACATTCCAGTTCATCTATATATCTGCAAACCACCTCCAGTAGGTACCAAAATGCAACACCAAAACAGAGCTAAATTACAGTTTTTGTACTACACATTATGTCTGCAATGAACTACACCATTTCCAGTAGCAAAATACATTCTATTTGCAGTACCAAAATACATAGTATCCAAAAAATAGTAACTAGACATCAGTTAACTAGACTTGAAATCTCCTGATCTTGTATGCTACTTCTTGGTTGGGAGTTTGTTCCTTCTTGGTTTTTTTGGTGGATTCTCTCTAACACTTGTAATGCCTACAATACATGTTTGTCAAGGTTAGTAAACTGAGTGAACAAACATTGGAGTAAAGGGCAGTAAACTGAGTGAACAAACAATTACCTCCATCATTGCCCTCAATATGATGCCAATGAGCATCCAAAACATCATCTGGAATCTCCCATTGATTATCTTCCACCTCAAGCTGAGTAACAACATCAGGCTGGACTGCATCTTGAAGGGGAACCTGAACTAGCACCTGAACTGGCACCTGAACTGGAACCTGGAATGGCTCTTGAATTGGAACCCTCACTGGTAGAACCTGACTGCCTCTTGAAGGGGAACTTGGACTGCCTCTTGAAGGGGAACCTAGACTGACACTTGAACTGGAACCTGGAATTAAGAGGTAAGTGTTAATTAATAACAACATTAAATGTTAATTACTAACAACCTGAAATGTTAAATGTTGAAAATGACGTATTAGCTCTTTGTTTATATTTGAAGTTGGAATCATCTGAACGTCCACCTATCCCAATCTCTCCATTCACAAGCTTCATATAAAAAAAAAAAAAAGGGAAAATATAAACTACTCCGTATATCCCAAAGACAAATGCTAAGTCTATTGAATTTCGTGCATACAAATAGTACCTGCGTGAAAGAGAAAATTCGTTTACTTCACTTGAATTTTGCCCGCTGCATATTACGTCGAATTCAGTCCTGCTTTCTCGCTATTCACCACACCATCGCTTGAATTTCGCCGTTGTTGTCTTGCTGCGTATTTCGCTCGTTGCTGTCAATTAGGTTTTACAATTGGAGATTTTACCAGTCAATTAGAAGACCAATTAATTTACCATTCTATCCTTCACTTAATAGACACAATATAATGAAAATACAAAATTGTCCCTAAAATTAACGGTCAACAAACGCTATTTGGACGAAAGGACCTTTGGTGGAACGATTTAGAAAGTTGAGTGTCTTTTTTGTCCAAATTAAAAATCAAGGACCAATTTTGGAAAATCACAATAGTCGGAGGACCATTGCTGGAATTAACTCTTAGTTGAAAATGGCCTTCGTTAGATGCTCGGAATTTCTTCATATTTTTCGACCACCCAGTAAAGGTGGTAAAAATTCGTATCACTCTACTCGGTAGTCGAATATCCTAAATCTTCTCGTTCACCCTCGGAGTGATAAGATGGTCGGAATATTTTACTACTTCCAACACCCATCAAAGGTGGGTAAAAATTCCAACTGCTTCTAGCTTATGTACTGTCCAATCTTCTCGTCCACTTTTCGGGTGATAAGAAATGTTAATCGAAAATAGCAAATTTTCGAATTGTGCAAAACATGTTATTAGATGAGATGAGATGAGATTTGAAAATAAATTAAAATATAATAAAAATGGAGCAAATAAAAATTTCATTAGCGCAGCTTTATTGAAATATCAAAATATTGGAGCTAAGAACACCAAGACAAACGAGTATACAACTAGTATCAAAATAATGTTCTTTATTCTTAACAGGTTTATCCAGCAGGATTGAGGGTACAAAACATCATCTTCTCCTACATTTGGGTGGTGAATAAACTACTGAAACTGCCAACTATAAAAAACGTACAACAAGGATCCAAATTGTACAATTCTTTACAAAACCTAAACTTGAAATTAAACTACGTAGAACCCAAATTGTCACATCAAGTGCCCGCAACATCTCAAATGGTAAATTTAACCTTAATTAAATTCTAAATCTTGGTAATTCCATCAATGTCTAGAACATTCAAGATTGCATTAAACCATTCATGAAAAACATTTGTCATAACATTGGGGAGTGGAAGGTTGGATTGAGTCCATATGGAGTTTGCATAGTCACACAAAACCAATGCATGCATTGTGTCCTCATTCATGATTCCACACATGGCACACATCGGTTTAACATCCACCCTCTTTATAAGCAAATTGTTGGTAGTAGGAAGAATATCACAAATAGCTCTCCATAGGAAAGTTTTCCATTTAGGTGGAATTTTTAACTTCTCCTTCAACCTATGTAATTAATCCAATTTTCTTGTTAATAGAATAACACTACTATAAGTAGGTTTATATCAATATTAGAATGCTATACTATTATCTCCACAATTTAGAGTAATTTGATTGCACTCAATTACAAAATGTTTATTTAATTAAGTTTACCCCCACTCATTAAAAATCCTCCATCCACCACTAGTAAGGGTAAATGCTCTGAATTCGTTAGTAGCCAAAAATACCAAAACCAATAAAAAAGAACTAACATTTGTCCCCAAATACTACCAATCTACCAGATTATAAACCTACTACAACAAACATAGTATGAAAAATAGCTAATTGGACAGTTAAAGCCTAATTGGACAGTTAAAGCCTGAGGACATTTAATGTGGGCAAGCCTTCATCATACAAAATGTCAGAGTTAAGGTACCATTCGGTTAAATTCCAATGTTGAAGAGAATTATCTAAGTCTAGAAACTAAAATAAATACGAAATCCATTAGACTTAGAAGCACCGGCCGCCGGAGTCCACTAACTCCTCTCACCTGAAGCCAAGTTCAATCTGTACAGTTCTCCTCCACTAACTCCCCTCATCTGTACAGTTTAATATGTACTTGAAGTCAAGTCCGCCCAATTCAAACTCTAACTCCTTTCACCTTACAGTTTAATATGTATTTGAAGCCAAGTCCGCCCAATTCAACTCTAACTCCTTTCACCTACCTTATATGGCGACGCCGACTCCGTAGTCTACAAAATCATCCCCGCTGCCCTTCAGTCCAACATTACTGTTTCGAATGCCACTGTCTCCACCTTGCTGCCCCCACTGTCATGAAATACAACCAAGGCTTGTTAATTTTTACTCCAGGTAAACAATATTAGGGATATAGAAGCATTTAATTATTTATTGTAACATAGCAAAATTGTGTATAGTCGTAGTATTAATGCGCCACATTGGCCAGTACAGAGCTTTGGCAATCGAGGCTTTGTCTCTGTTCCCGCCGAATTCGCCACACCCTGCTCTTGTTCTCATCGCCAATCATGAATTTCCGGTGGAGCGTAGTGGCGGAGAGTTTGTTGAGACGTATGAAGGCATGGTCGAAAAGGGCGACCCGAATTTCAAATGGATTCGTCCGATAACCGAATACGACCCGATCATACTAAACTATACCTCCGGCACCACCTCGATCTGCTCCCAAGGGGGTGGTTCATTGCCACAAAGGAATCTTCATTATCTCTTTGAATTCCCTAACCGGTGTATCTGTGAACCCTACCCATGTTCCAAGCTAACGGCTGGAGCTTCCCTTGGGGAATGGCTGCCGTGAGGGCACCAATATCTGCTGCCGAAAAGTCGACACAGCCAACATCTATTCAGCGCTTCGCCAACGAACGTAAGCCTCCGCCGTCGTCGGCGATTCTGTTGCGAACAGAGTCACTAGGGTTCTTAGTCAGCCACGACTACGGGTTAACATAAACGGCCGGGATCGCAGGACGTTTATGTTGGAATTCTGGGCGTTGATCGGAGCCTCAGCACGTGGTTCAATTCTGGGCGAAGTGGTGCTCCGAGGAGTCCGAGGCGGTAGCGTCATGCTGGGATACGTCAAAGACCCGAAGGAACCGCAAAAAAGCATGAAAAAATGGCCAATGGGTATTTTGATTTTATAATTGCGTATATGGATGATGTATTATACGCACAGCATGTAAAAGACTATTTTAACCCTCATTTTAACGGTCACTTAACTAGCTTTGAACAAAACGACCAACGTTGGAAACATTTTGATAGTCAAGTGTCTAAATTGTCCAAATTGAAAGTCGATGACCAAATGTGAAAAATCATGATAGTCGGAGGACCAATGCTGGAATTAACTATTTAGAAAATGCTAAATTAGGGGTATAAAAAGCAATGAAGCACAAATTAAAAACATCATTGTGCTTCATTGCTTTTTTTCTCTTCAGATTTTATGAAGCCATGATTCGATCAATATGTCCGTCATCATGCCAATGGGTAATACTATGACATTAGTTTGTTTTCTTGTTGATTAAAAAACAATGGCGAGCTGACTTGAATGAACAATTTTCGTGAAATTTGTGCGTAATTGAGATAGCTTCAACTCATGTTGCCTTTAAGATGAAGGAGGAATTACGGCGGTGCATTTTAATGTTGTTGTTCCCAAGGGTCTCCACGCCCCAGAGAGCATGTGAGAGGATATAAATCATGGTAACTTAGTTGAACACAGAGGTTAGACCTTTACTTATTGTGCACAAGAAGTTTCCCTCACTTTGAAATGTTGCTTCTACACTGTCGCTGGTGAAACTCAATAAGTTATTGTTCTCAAACTTCACTCTTGTGACCAACTGATCTGCTCATGCGGGCACAGTGTTTTAATGTGGGGAAGTCTGATCGGGATTAAAGTCACCGGAAAATGGAAGAAGCTGCACTCTAGAATCATTTTTCTTGGTTTCCAAGAGCATTTATAGAGCAGAATGACATCTTTGTTTTTTCTACTAATTAAAGTTGAAACCATGAAACTTTATTGAAATATCAAATATTGGAGCTAAGAACACCAAGATAAACGAGGGTACAACCAGTATCAAAATAATGTTCTTTATTCTTAACAAATTTATCCACCAGGGCTGAGGGTACAAAACATCATCTTCTCCTACATTTGGGTGGTGAATAAACTACTAAAACTGCCAACTATCAAAAACGTCCAACAAGGATCCAAATTGTACAATTCTTTACAAAACCTAAACTTGAAATTAAACTACGTAGCTCACAACTTGTCACATCAAGTGTCTGCCCGGCCGTAACATCTCAAACGGTAGATTTGACCTTTAATGTAGTATCACGTACTGTCGAGCAAAGCTAATTGCTGATTTTGCAAGATGGGCTGGTCACACCCTACCCACAATTTCTTGCACAATCATCCTCCTAGACCTGACAATGTTGAGAAAACACAAATAAATGTGTTGCTCAAGCTCTTTCAACACCTCCAAGGCCCACTCTTCTTGTATGGCAAAATTCTTTGAGCTCACCACTTCCTTCAACACATCATCACAGTGCTTCATTGCCCACAGGTCAGCTATGGTCTTGTTATGCTCCATTTCATCGCTCAACCTCCCCACCAGCCGGCTCACCGTACTCAAATCATTGATCAGTACAAAAAGCCCCTTTGCAGCAACGTCGAGCGGCATATAAAGCCCTTTTCGCGAAGGGATCCCTCGTTTCGCCTCCTTGAGCTTCTTGACCATGCCCAAAGAAAGTGCAATTAGGCCCGGGACGGCCATTGTACAAACCACAAAATGCACTGCGAGAATGGTAAAAGTAATCATGAATGCAGTGCACCCTATCAGAAGGGTCGACCCCAAAGCCACCTTGAAAACCCTAAGGCGTTTCGTCCTCCTCTCTATCCTCCCGCGCTTCGATGTGAGCCGACTTAGCAGCCCCAAGTGGTCGTCTCGTACATCGTCGAACCGCACCGCCGACAAAGTGTTTCCGAACAGCGACAACGACGCGATTTCTCCGTACGCACGGTTGACTTGCTCCTCGCTCGACAGCCCCAATTCCTCGATTTTCTCGACGGCTTTCTTGACGCTCTTGTAATCCGCTCGAGTTTGCAGGACGATTTTGAGCAGCGATTCGCAGATCGCGCACGCTTCTAAGGTTAGAAGGAAGTATTCGTTGAGCAGAGGGTGGGCGTTGGAAGCTTGTTGGGGCAATTCTTCCATGTTTTCTTGGCAGAGCAGAAGCTTGCATCCTGGTGATGGTAAGCTTTCATGGCCGCTGATCAGAGGGGAAGAAGAAGATGAAGAAGAAGAAGTTAAGGGAAAAGTGTTATCCCCTCCAACAATTTCTTTGCTTCTTGCGGCTGCTAGCTGTCCTTGAACTTTGTCGTAGATTTCAACGTAAGAATTGGTTCTAAAGGCCGCCATGTATTCATGGCTGACGCTCGATGACTTGCGCCCCAAGCTACCCTCATTTTCGTTGGAATTTCTTCCTGCAATTATTAGGGGGGGGGGGGGGGGGGGGGGGGGGGGGGGGGGGGAATTATAAAACAAACCAAGTCACACATAATAAATAATATATAATAATAATAATACGGAGTAATAATAATAATAATATTATTATTATGCATGTGAGCAGAATTTAAGGTTGTTCATTCTGTTTTTTTTTTTTCTTTTGTTATTATTATTTAATACAATGGAAAGAAAAATTAAACTCACAAGTTACATAAACCTGATATCGAGAAGCATCAAATTTGTGTCATTCTTAGAATGGGAGTAAAAAACAATGATCATATATTATCTATTAAACCAACCTTATATCAATATATAAATAAATAGAGTAAATACCCAAAATGGTCCATCGACTATAGCTAAATTCACCAATTGATCATTGACTTTCAATTTCAACCAATTAAGTCCTTAACTTTGCAATTTTAACACAATTTGGTCATCTGTTTATTTGATCGTTTGTTGACTGTGATTTTTGAGGATATATATGTAATTTCATGGTCCATCGTCGGGTTTTTAAGGTTCCGGTTGCATTTCCAAACTGCACTGTTACATTTGAATCCACTACCGAAAGCAATCTACCAAAGTCGCCTTTCTTCATCCTCCCTTTGGATTCAATGAAGTTGAGTTCGTACCAGAGCGAAGAAGACGACGTGTTTCCGAACCAGTGCATCGTCATCCTGGAGGCCTCCACGTGCTCCGACGAGAGCTGAAGGTTCTTCTAGAGATCGTTGATCACGGTCAACAAATGGTCAAATAGATGGAGGACCAAATCGTGTCAAAATTGCAAAGTTAAGGACTTAATTGGTTGAAATTGAAAGTCGATGACCAATTTGTGAATTTAGCTATAGTCGAGGGACTATTTTAAGTATCTATTCATATAAATACAACCTTTTTATATGTACTAATAACAACCAATACCAATACTTTACAATTGATGTAGATTAAATATCCTAAAAGAGGTGTGTATATATCACATCAATGGGGGCGTTCATAATTTGAATAATTCAATTAATAACTTAATCAAATGTCATATTTCTCATGAATTAACTGAATTAAAAAAATAGTTAAATTAATACAGTTGGTTAACCTAAATATTTTAGTAAAATTTAAAAATATTTACTATTTATAAATAAAAATTTTCAATTCATATTTTCACACCACAAATAGGCATTGCATCAATATATAAAATGATAAAAATTGCCAAAAAACCAGTCTAATAATATAATTTATAAATTATAAAAAAAATTAAAACATATATATACTAACAATTCGGTTAACCAGCCAACACTCTCAAAGTGAATTAACTTATAACCAAAATTTCTAAAAATTATTACCCGAGATTAAGAGTGGGAGAAACTAACTCACTTGGTGATTTTGTTATGAAAGCGGATTTCATCTTGGAAAACTTTTTGAAGAGAGGCAGATGCATGTTGAGACGATGAAGTTGAAAGAACGAATGTATATATATAGAGAGGGAGAGAGAAAAAAAAAAAAAGAAAAAAATGGAAGATGAGAAGAGGTGGAGAGGATATAGTATATATACACAATTACAAGGAGCAGAAGTTGTGAAAGCAACCGCCTTTATATATAAGCATATGTTGCTTGGAGATGGCGGCAACCTTAAGGCGATCGAAACCTCAGCTAAAACCAGGTGGCTGCGTGCTGTGCTGGATGGCATGTAAGAAAGAAAGAAAGGGGAGAAGATTAAGGATATGGCAGTTAGCACCGCCTTAAAAATGTGTGGGCGAACTGTTCTGTCTTTCACTTGACGTTTCTTTCCGCAACGTTTTTTCACGCGGCTTGATTTCCGTCTGTGGTTTTGTAAGCGAACAAACTATGAGGGTGCGTTTGGTTCGCACATAGGAATCGGAATTAGAATTGGAATCCGAATTAAATATTTAAAGTGTGTTTGGTTCGCACATGGGAATCGAAATTGGAATGAGAATTAAATACTTGTTAATGATAATTGGTTTTGGTGAAAGTATGTGCTTGTTGGTGGTAGGGTGGAATTAGAATGATTACCAATATTGCTGTTTGGTTATGTATGATCTTATAATGAGAATAAATGTTTAAAAATACAAGGAAAAAAATCAAGACAATTTATTCTAATATAAAGACATCCAAAGCACCAATATTAACAAAAAAAAAAATCTAAAAGCACTAATACAAACTTAAAAATCAAATTACCAATTAGGAGGGGAATAATGGAATGGAACCTTTATTTTATTAGGAAATTAGTTTTCTAATTAAGGGGCAATCAAATCTCATAGTAGTGTTCTAAAAATCTGTCAACCAAATAATAACAATGACTTTGATTCCCATTCCTGATAGCTAAGCCCATGAACCAAACATACCTGGTAGAGCCTCTCTAATAGTATAAATCTTGAGATGTGTCTTAATAATCTTATATGTTGGTGCATACCTTTTCAATTCGTGCTTAATTATATATATGCCGGTGGGCAGGGGACTAATGTATATCTATCAATAAAACAAGTTGTCAGGGTCAAACGCTTATCAGTACATCAAAAGTTATAACTAGTAGCGAATAAATAATTTTATTTCTTTATACTTGTATAACAGTCAATGTCACGTTTCGATTACAATACAAATTGTAGGACTTGACTCATCACAAGCTATATCTTAACTTTACTTTGAATTAGATTAGCTACAATATTTTAATGCCATGTAAATATTATTTTAAGTTCATGCTATTTAGAGTTTATTTGAGTACAGTGTAGTTTGGCCGCATCCCCGAACACATTGTACAATGCAGTAATGAATCGTGGAAGTTTCTTCATAAGTAATTTCATTTTTAGTTGCTCCACTATAGTAACATTTTTATGGTTAGTTATTGGACATTCATTTGACCAAAATTGTCCATCTTTTAGACTTTCTAAAACCAACCAAATTTATTACGGAGTATATTTTTGCTGGGACCATAATTAGTTGGTTTTTAAAAACCCAAACACTTATAATGTGGTTAAATTAATAGCTGATAATTATGCGTATTAAAGATGTTACTATAGCCATGTGGCCAAAATGAATTTATGCAGAGCAATTGAAGTAGTTTCGAGTATGTATCACATTAAGTTATGACAAGGAAACCTGCACTAATTATTTGAAAGTGTATATTGAGAAAATCCGCTCTTGTATAATAGCGCACAAACCACATATAAGAAGTGTTAAAATTTTATAAAAATGTTGAAGAAATTGACATACTAACACACACACACACACACACACACACACACACACACACACACACACACACACACACACACACACACACACATATATATATATATATATATATATATATATATATAAGGCTTGTAATTGTGACAGAAGGTAAATTATAGCCTAGTAATTTTTTAAACCAATAATATCCATCTTTTTTCTGATACGTTTAATTAAGTAATCAGAGATTACACTTAATCTCTACCAAAAAAAAAAAAAAAGAAGAGAGATTACACTTAATTGTAACTTTCTAGCCTACTCTATTTATGGCATTTATAAATATGGTAACATGAATTTTATGAAACTTATATCAAAATTTGGGAAATTGAATAGAAATTCCATCACCAGGACTATGTGGTCTAATGGTACCCGGGTTGGACTTCCATTTGGAAGATTATGAGTTCAAGCCTCAGTGGAGGCGTTATTGATTCTTTGTGTTTCAGTAGGTTAAGAAAGTATATGAACAGATACTACAATGTAATAGAGTCAATAACTTTCAAAAAAAGAATAGAAGTTCCATCAGAATTTCTTAATTGTACTCTACATTTCAATTTGGAAAATTTTTGTTGCATTAATTAGGACCAAAAGTTGCAAATTTATGGATAAAGATGACAAATCAGTTGGTTTGGGAGTTAGATTTTCTTTGCCAGCCAACTACCTGTTGGGATAATCAAATAAGAATAACAAACAAACACACAAAACCATTAGGAGTGGTTAATTTAAGGATCCTAAGATTTTGGTTGCTTGACAGTCCAAAATTCGATCATGAACCTATATGTTGACACGTGTCAATATTCTTAGCCACTCATCCACAAAGCAATAATGGATCAAACGGTGTAATACGTTTACGGATATATAATGGTAGAAGTAGCTTGAAAATCATGCAAAGACACTTCGAAAATAAGGAAGAAAAAAGAAGGTTTACTCCATAAAGTATGATGAAATATGTTGGCAGAAACGGTTCAAGAATTGCAATTATCTACTTATTTTCTTTAAACATGATTATTTTATACGGAATAATATATAGTTAGTATAGAGTATGTTTTCTGTGAGACTATTTGACGTGCATGCTATGTGTAGTATTTTTTAGTCAAAGAATTTAATTAAACAAGTCAAAATGACTAGGACTAAATTGGTGAAATCAACATATATAATCGAAGGATCATTTTTGTAATTTTTTTTTTTAGTGAGCGAAATTTTTTAAAACATATTAAAATGAGCAAATACCAATTTTAGTCCTACGAGTATTAGCAAAATGACATTTTTGGTCCACATGTTTAATTTCTACCAATTTTCATCAACGATTATTATTTTAGTACCAATTTTCATCCACAGCTATTGTTTTAGTCCTAAAATTCATCACGCCGGTCACCCATTCGTTTAAGACATGCTGAAATATGAAATTATTAAGGGTACTTTCGTCCTTTTCAAATTAAGATCTCAACTTGAGCATAAATAAAAGGATTTAAGCTTTAAGTTCGATCACAATTCGCAGTTCTCTCCCTCAAATTAAGGTAAGATGAGGGGGAGAACTGCGAATTGAGATTTTTCTTAGGGCATAAATCTCGTTATTCATGCTCAAATTGAGATCTTAAGTTGAAAAGCATGACGATACCCTTAAAATTTTTAGATTTCGACATGTCTTAAAAGGAGGAGTGACCGGCGTGATGAATTTTGGCACTAAAATAATAGTCGTGGATGAAAATTGGTATTAAAACAATAGTCATGGATGAAAATGGGTAGGAATTATACATGTGGATCAAAACTGTCATTTTGCTAATACTCGTTGGACTAAAATTGGTATTTGCTCTATGCGCTCTGGCCCAAAACGACGTCGTTTTTATAAGTTGGTGGGAGTTGATGCGACGGACACCGTTCTATCCGTTACATTTTTTTTTTAACACTTGTGTTTATGTGTATCTGTTAATAGTTTATGTGTATTATGTTAAGAGTTCATGCATGTGCATTATGTTAAGAGTTTATGTGTATTTATATTAAGAGTTTATGTGTATTCTACTATACAATTCTGTACATTCAAAACAGAGAATTTTTTTTTAATTTTTTTTTTTATATAAGTTAACGGCAGAAAATGGGAACGGAATTTCTAAAAAAGAAAAACATATACAAAACAACATCTTAATTTGCCATCAATATCGCCTCCACTAAGACTCAAACCTATAACCTTCCACCACTTAGCAACCATGCCACTTGACCACAAAATCTTTGATAACCATGTGCTAATCAATTTATTTTAAAAAGTTTTTTTTTTTATTTTTTTTTGGTATAGAAGTGAAAGTTTTTTTTTTTTTTTTTTTTTTTTGTATAAATGATATAATATTGATATTACCTTAAAATCATTTTTTTAAGTGATAGGTATTATTTTAAAATGTATTAGTTTTATATATATATATATATATAAAAGTTATATGTATTATTTATTTATTTATTGTTTAAAACTGATAGGTATTTAATTATTTTAAAAGTATTCATTTTTTGCTTAAAAGTGATAGTTCTTCATGAAAAGTGTTAGGTTCAAACCCTTCATCCAGGCTCCTGGTGACTTACATATTATTACTTTCGTTAAGGGGATTATTTTTTGCCTGAAAAGCGATATATTTTACGTTCAAAGTTATAGCTTAATATACATAAACCATAATAGGAACTATGAAATGAAATAAGGTGAAAGGTAATATATCCAGGCGTCGTTTTGTGTGTGCATAAATGGATAAAGTTTTAAATGAAATAAGGTGGAAAGTAATATATCCAGGCTTGTTTTGTGTGTGCATAAATGGATAAAGTTTAAAGATAAATGAAAGTTGCATGAAAATACTCCCTCTGTTTCTCGGAATCGTCTTATTTTATGTTAGAAATCTTTTTTTTTTTTTTTTGAAAGGATGTTAGAAATCATTTAGTCTTGTTTAGTCTTGCCGTACGGATCATCAATATGTTGCTTTGTTGGAGAGGTATAAATGATATATAGTGATCAAATACGTTTCACGCATAAATCTTCTGTTACATTACTTTCTTGAACTTTAATAAAACGCTTTTGAGTAATAGATAATTGAGTTTAGGTAAGCGAAAGAATACATGTCACGACATCAAATTTGGGTAGCAGCGAAATACCGATACTTACCTACCTAGTACCCAATATCATATTGACAACATAATTGGTTAGCACTTGACCCAGAATTATTCGAAGAAACCAAGAGACACGTAATGGAAACATTTACTCCATCGACCTATTCAA